TGTAAAATGAAAAGTGACACCTAAAATGACATTGTGGTAGCCCTAGGATGATAAAGAAAAATAAAAAGAAAATAAAGAAAAATAATTTGTATTTTAACACTATTATGGCCGAACCTCACTTGGTAGGGGAGGAAAATTGACGTTTTGTGACTTTGGTGGGTTTACCGTGTTTTGATGATCCGTATATGGTCATTGTAGGTTATCTCCCGCGGATTTGAACCCTGAACTGTGAGCTCGGTGGTTTGGCCTTGGTCCCAAACCAAAAGGGATCGTGATAAGTATTTTGAAACCATGCTTATGTGCTTGATATATTGCATGTGTTAGTGAATGGAAATTAAATTAGGAATGTCCTATGTGTAGGCATTTCAGTTTGTACCTAGCTCGGGGAAGTATTGCATTGGAGCTACGAGAAGGTGATTAGTAAGGTAATCCCTTGGTACTGGGGTTTGATCCCCTTGTGTGTTTCATCATGCCCGTTGAGGGTAATGATAGGAAATGTATGTGAATAATAGGATAACATGCTCATGCATATTGTATGTGTTGTGGTACATAGGATGTACCGTGTCTTTGGCCAGTAGACTGTTTGCCTTCGGGCGTTACGGACTTCCACTGGATAGGTCTCTGTGAGGGAGTTCCAGTTGACCTGGGGTCGTGGTGTGTGATCCAGATAGGAGCACACTAGGAAGTCTCGGGTGGATATGGATGGAGGGTGCATTGGTTGATATTCTGGGAACACGCCTTGGTTTGAAACCCGTAGGCTTATATGCCGAGGCCCAATAGGCTGGACGTTGCGTGGTTTTGGCGTTAACCATTCCAGCTTCGTCGTATTTTGTATCCCTATGCTCCCCTATTTCACTAAATTCCTTGCTTTATCCCGTTTTCAGATGTTATGCTGTATTATTTATATGCATCGAAGTGAGCCATTGGGCGGAGTATTCTCCAGAACCTCTGGATTACTGAGATATATTCGTATATCTCACCCCACTTTGGGGACTTTATTTCAAGAGATAGCAGTGGTGTTGGGGCGGCGGACAAGAAGCCCGTAGGTTAAGCAGAAGGACTTTTACCTATTTTGCATTTTGTTGGCCATTGGGCCTAGGCTAGACTTAGGTCATGAACAATGCATATGATTAGGATTATTGTATCATTTTGTTCATGATGTATTTTGTCTAAGTTTAGTCTTTGATTATCATGTTTTATTTTGGAGCATTTACTATGTATACTTGAAGGAAAATTGTAATATGCCTATTTGAAGTTGTAATTTATAATATGGAGAACTGATGTAACATTGAAGTATGTAATATGATGAATGTAACATCCTGAGTGCTGACAATTGTATAGTTAGTGGAAGAGCTAATGTACAATTGAATGTATGGTTGGTGGAAGAGCTAGCGTACTATCAGCGGAGGGGTACATGAATGAATCAAATAACACCGAAAATAGAGGGATTCCAAAGATTGTACTGGTATAGGACAACACAGTTGAGGATAGCTTATAAGAATTAATTGGTACTACCTATACTAACAAGATGCATCTACTTTTCGGTAGCCCGATCGGAAGAACTCCACAGTTAAGCGTGCTTGACTTGGAGCAATTCAGGGATGAGTGACCTCCTGGGAAGTTTTCCCGGGAAGTGTACGAGTGAGGACAAAACACGCTGAAAAGTCTCGTGTTAGTGTGTGGGGATAGTCGTTGAAGCTTGTAAGTGGTCGGGCGTTACAAGTGGTATCAGAGCAGGGCCTCTCATCCAGTACGGTGTGGTTCGAGGACGAACCAGGCGGAAGCTGGTGGGCATGTAACATCCTGAGTGCTGACAATTGTATGGTTAGTGGAAGAGCTAATGTACAATTGAATGTATGGTTAGTGGAAGAGCTAGCGTACTATTAGCGGAGGGGTACATGAATGAATCGAATAACACCGGAAAGAGAGGGATTCCAAAGATTGTGCTGGTATAGGACATCACAGTTGATGATGCTTATAAGAATTAATTGGTACTACCTATACTAACAAGATGCATCTACTTTTTGGTAGCACGGATCGGAAGAACTCCACAGTTAAGCGTGCTTGACTTGGAGCAATTCAGGGATGGGTGACCTCCTGGGAAGTTTTCCCGGGAAGTGTGCGAGTGAGGACAAACCACGCTGAAAAGTCTCGTGTTAGTGTGTGGGGATAGTCTTTGATGCTTGTAAGTGGCCGGACGTTACAATGAAAGGGCAATAGGCCTATTCTAGGATGTGAATGATGCTTTATGATTCAAAGAATGCATGCAAATGGGATCTTGTGATTGAAATAAGTTAAATTGAGAAAGTAAGTATGAATTATGCATATTGATTAAATTGGATATAAACTGCGAAGGGTTGTAAGAGCACCAAGACATTGCTGGTCTTTGTGTGCCACCCATGATTATTAGGTACAAATTGAGGTTAGACACCACATTTGCAAATTTGGGATTTATTGAAAAAACAAAGGAATCTCTGACGAATTTTCTAGAAATTGACAGAATTTAGGCAAAATTTGAGAAAACATATCTCCCTCCACAGAAGTCTGATAGGGACGTTCCATACGCCGTTCTGAAGCCTGAGATGTCCTCTATCTTGTGTTAAAATTTGAGAAATTTCTGGGTTGGGTGTCGGCCTGTAGGAGGAAGAGAGCACGGACTGCTCAATTGACCACTGCACTTGTGGCTGATTTGGAGCGAGTTTGGGAATATTATTCCCGCTTCGTTTATAGGTAAAATTAGATGTATGATATGTCAAATTGAAGCTTAAGGTGTCTAGTTTACTGTATAAATTTTTGAGAGCAATTGGTTGAGTGGAGTTTCCAGAATAATTGATTGAGTGAAGGTTGTTTGGAGCCGATTTGAGGTTGGCTGGCAGATTTGCTTGTCCAACTTCAAACGGCGATATCCAAAGCAAACAAGAACTTTATGACTCGTGTGATAGCTTCCTAGAAAGGTAATCAAGTCTAGAATAACATACTAAAAGATGAGAGGCTTGTAGAATGCGGTTTGTCCGCAAAATTAAAAGACCGAACCATGTTCGGATATGTTGAAAACGTAAAAGTGAGATTTTAGCTAAGTGGGTTTATGGGACCCCTTAGTTACTTGAGAGAAGTAATATATGATATAAAAGTAGTTTAAATAATTATTCTGCGAAGAGTTTACAGTTACGGTCACAATTTTTATTTATTATTATCTTAAATGCTCACGTAGTAAAACGAAAAAAGTTTACTCTCATTTTTATAAATGAATTGCTGTGATTGTAACTGCGCTTAATATCATAATTAATGTTAACAATACCAGTGTACAATAGGCTGTTACAGGGAGATTGCACTGAAAGGGGGAGGAGTAGGGGCAGACCTTCACTTGTGCAATTATGTGTAAGTGTAGACACAAATTTTGGTGGGAGGGGGAAAGTAAAGTATCTTTTGGGTCCTCAACTAAAATCACGGGACCCAATTTAATCCCATACAAAAAAATTCGAATTGTGGTCTATCTGAATTCTAAAATAGATCCAGTTTGTTAAAATCGTAGTTCCTTTGAAATTCAAAGAAGATTCACGTTAGTCCCTCAAAAGGACTAAATGGGTCTATTTTAAAATTTAGAAGAATCACGAGTCAATTTTTTTCTCTAAGGGATTAAATTGGGACCCATAATATTTGTAAGTACTTAAAAGATACTTTACTCTAAAAATAGCTCTGATGGCAATGACAATACACAGTATGCGCTCTCAATTTTAACTTTATACTCAAATAATTTAACAGCTTAGTTGACTTTTGATTACTATTTTTTTATGTTAAGTTGAAGTTTTCTTTTCTTGTTTATATTCTTTCGTTTTTTTAATACATTTAAAACTTTTTAAAAAAAAAATTTGGGAACCCCCACCCCTAATCATATTCTTTTCTCTTTTTCCTCTCTGATTTTGTCGTGTAACACACATTTCCTTTGTCTCTCCCCCTTCATTTCATAACAGTATAATTATTATACTTATAATCATGGGAAGGGTTATATTTTTAAATTTTTTTTTACAAATTACACTATGTACTAGAGGTAATACATTATGTGCTGAAATGTATTACCCTTAATATATAGTATAATTTGTAAGAATTTGTAAATAAAAAAGTTTGTAATATAACGTTTCCCTATAATTATAACATTAGCATTTTATTTTATTTTTTTAAATACTAACATTAGCATTTGTTAAACTGAAGCAGGCAAGCAGCAACTATTTTCTTTGTTCCAAGAAACATATAATACGGTAATGCAAAAGAAACATATAATACGACATTGTCCCTGCCACAATGGATGAGAGGAAAAGAGATATGGGCATGGAACAATGCGTTCCCTGGGCTATTTTAGCTCCAGTCGCCATGCTGAGGAAACTGGGCCAGTAATACAAATTTTTGTCAGTGTAAAGAGCCAGTGAGATTTACGTTGTTAGATTGGTATTGAACCAAACCCCTCTAGTTGGGCCGAAGCATTTCAGAACTCGATGTGAAGAGAGCTAAGCTTTATAGAATTATAATTATTATTTCTATGACACATTGCAACGTGTCAAAGTCAAAAAATATGCCATTGTGGTGCATGGATATGCACTGCCACTGCCACGGTGCCACCCAAGGCAACGTGCATCACAAACCTGTGATGACATGGTGAATCCACAAAAGCAGTCAAAGCCCATAAATAGGTGGATCCGAAAGTTCGCATCGTTTTACATTCCCTAACCATTGGTTAAAAACTTTTAATTAGGGCCTCTCACATTATTCAGCAGTTACTGACTTTAAAACTCCCCCTAACCATTATTTTTTACTCACTTGCAAGACCTATAAACGACCACCTCAACACTATAGTCTATACTATAGGTACATTCTTTACTACGGACCTCACGATTTTTCATTTTCACGTCTTATGCTTTGTCTCATTGCCTCTATATCTGTACTGTGCATCTCCGTATAATTCATTTGTCTGTGTTTGTGAAATGTGAGTTCAGATCTGAAGCACCATGGGCAGAATATTAATGCAGTATCTTGCAACGAAAACGGATCCCGTTTTGGCTAGTTTAATTGATTCTGATTTATATGAGCTCAAGCTTGCAACCAAGAAGCTCTTCAATGATGCAACTATGCTAGGAGGCATAGGTTTGGGTACATCTTTCCTTAAATGGGTCGCCTCCTTTGCTGCCATGTAAGCTCAAATTTCAATGTTGATTACCTATATATATTTGTTTGTTTCTAATACATATTTTATGATAAGAAAATGAATATACAAATTAACACATAAAAAAAGTTATTTTTTTTACTTCTTTTAACAGGATAATTGCATATATTTACACAATCTTAATTAGTTGATATACTTGAACATGATATTTAGTTTGTTAAAGATTAAGAATGTACTTTTTTTCCCCCCGGTAGACAAGAGGGCCTGGGAACCTAAGAATGTACTTGTTAACTTGATACTATTCCACACAAAAAGTCGTTATAGGACATCCAATTTGGGAGTCTTGTACATAAGAATTGAGATGATGATGAAAATGTTATACTAAAATTTTAATCCCAAACATCCCTTATTATTATATGGGAAAAATGTTTATCTTTTTAAATGACACAACTTATATCCTTTCACTCTCACAAAGAAATGAGATCCACACCTTTATTTTTTTTGTCAACTATCTCTCCTCTTTTATCTATTTCTTTCTCCCTCTTAAAATGACACAACTTTACATCTTTTAAAATGGCACACACTTTTCTCTTATTATATTGGGTAAAATCTCTTTCTCCTCTTTTATCTATTTCTTTCTCTCTCTTAAAATGACACAACTTTACATCTTTTAAAGTGACACACACTTTTCTCTTATTATATTGGGTAAAATCGGATTTCTCAAGTCAATAGAGATAAGTTATCTCCGGTGAGCCCAAAATGACGTCGTTTGGACGGAAACCAAGGTATTTTTGTAATTATAATATATTGCAGGATTATATTAGTCTTTATAATTATAATTTTTTAATCTCATAATCCCAAAACGACGTCGTTTTTATCCACTGGAGATAACTTTATCTCCAGTAACTGGAGAAATACTTTTTCCTATTATGTATTATCATATTTGGTAATAACATGTAGTAAGAAAAATAAGTAGTAAGTATAACCTCTCCCTTTCATATTTGATCATTAGACAAAATGTCTTATTATAGCTTCGAATAGTGTCCTTTTTCCTTCACTTCTTATCTTTCTTCCATAAATTATTCCTCACAATACGGTTTAAAGAACATTGTGCATCTCTCACCATAGTGCATGTATCTGACCTCAAATTAGAATCGATTAATCCGATAACCATATACAACACATTGACAAGTTGCTCAGTGAGACCAGCTTAAGGAGTTAAATTTTAATTGAATTGACTTCGTTGGAAAATGTTGATTTCAGTTATTTACTGATACTGGATCGCACGAACTGGAGGACAAATATGCTGACTTCCTTATTAGTGCCTTACTTGTTCTTTAGTTTACCCGGGTCACTGTTCCAATTTTTCAGGTAATTAATGATTTATATATTTTGATAGCTTCCTCCTCTCTTCTCTTTTGCTTTTCCAATCCAATTTCCCCTCTTATTTACAATTCTTGTTTTGTATATTGATATTGATTGAAAATTCATTTCTGTCATTCAGAGGAGAAGTTGGAAAATGGGTTGCTTTCATAGCAGTCGTGCTAAGGCTTTTCCTCCCTAAACATTTTCCCGGTATGTTTCAAGTAGCAATGCATAACAATACTTAAAGAATGCACAGCATATATATATATATATATATATATATATATATATATATATATATATATATATATATATATATTTGTTAAAATGAGACAACACAGCATATATATAAAACATGACAACTTAATGCTAACATGAAATTGGAACTTGTGTTACAAATTATAATGGGTGTGTGTGTGGCTATTTGTCGGGTTCTTAGTTTGAAACTTAATTGTTGTAAATTGGTTGGAAATCTGTGCAGATTGGCTAGAAATACCTGGATCAATGATCCTTATTTTGGTGGTGGCCCCTGACTTTTTTGCTCTTAAGTTGAGGGAAAATTGGGTTGGAATAGCGATTGATCTTTTCATTGGGTGTTACCTATTGCAAGAACATATCAGGGCTTCTGGTGGATTCAGAAATTCTTTCACACAGAGACATGGAATATCAAATACTCTTGGCATCATCTTCCTCATAGTCTATCCTGTTTGGGCATTGGTTATCCATCATTAAGTATAAAGCATTATAGTATATAGTAACTGGCGATGATGTGCATTCTGTTAGGAAAATAAATTTATACACGATGGAGTCTGATATATGCTTACAATGGTGGTGCTGAAGAACTCCAATGTTTTTAAGACCAATGTATTTGCCTCCACCAATGCAGAGTTTATAGTGAATAGTCCCAAAATTATACTACCCAACATAGTTGTACTTTTCAATACTGAAAATTTCACATCATAGAGTAGGGAGAACAAAATCTTGTCCTCTCATTCAAAATTTAACCTACCCAATTCGGCGACTAACATAGTTGTTCTTTCCGTTAAGCCTTGCCTGATTCATTGACATTTTGTATTCATGAATTTGAAATTTTCTTTTTTTTTGAATATTCATATATGATGATATTTCATGCTTTTATTGAACCAAATGATATAAAAAATTAAGGGTTTGGTGTTTGTCCTTTTTAAAGTATATGAAGTTATTAAGTAAGAGAAAGACACAAATAATAGAAATGAAGAGAAAGTGAACAATTTTTTTAATTTAAATTTTAAATAAAAAAATACAAGGTTATATTTTTTTTCTTTTTTAAAATGATATAACTATCATATCTTTAAAAAAAATATTTTTTCCATAAATTAATGAAGCAACAAAGAAAAAAAATGTTTCTTAAGCCCAGTGACTTCTTGATTGAAAATTCGAAGGCCCATACAAACCACACGGCCGAATTAATGTTGGACGAGGCCCATTAAACCCTAATAACTGTGACAAACCCTAAATCCTTCCGCACAGACTTCGGTCGCCTATAAAATCGAAACGGGGGAGTCTTGATTTCATCACTGGGCGCACGAAGCGTGGCCACCGTTTTAGATCTGTATAATTTCTTCAACTCTTTTATCTTATTTTTTGGTTTTGGTTTTGGTTATTGTGTTTTTAAATGAATCGATTTTGTTTAACGCAAACGAAGGTGTGGTTTTCTCGGTGATGATCAACATTGATGACGAGTCCGATCTAATTTCCATTCTATACAATTCTGACGACAAAACGAGGCATTTGTCTGAGAGGATTCCACTCTTCGCTTCTATTCCGTTTTTTTTTTCTTCCAATTTTTGTTTTCTACTCTTTTTTTTTAATAAATTTTTCGTAGTGTTATTACTTGGCATGGTGATGACAGTTTTATTGTCATATGATTATTCATGTGATTAAAGACAACCTCCTACTCATTCTGAATGCCATATTTGTTTTTGTTTTTGATTCAACGTTAATTTTGGTTATATTTGTTACTTATAGATGGAAGAGAGTGGCGTGACTGTTATAGGTGGCAAAATGGGCGCCTTTCCCCATCTGCCATCAATTTGCAAAAAAATAAGTCTGTGTCGTCCCATTTCGCTTTTGAAGGTGGGCTAAAAATCTCAGCTTCTCCTATCTCGTTTGACGGGTTAGCCCCTATTTTACATTAATTTACTTTGGCCTGCCTAGCTTGCCATTAATTTGTCAAAAAAATTGAGGTTCCTGTCATCAATCTGCCCAAAAAAAAATAAGTCCGCTTTGTTCTGCTCGTCTGCGGAGCCGAGCCTATTTTGCCTCCAGTGACTGATGATATTGATTATGTATTTTGTTAGCTGTGTGTGGCTGATGTGCTTCATGTGAGAAGTGAGAGAAATAGAAAACATGGCATCATATATTTTTATGTATGTTTTGTGTGAAACAATAAACCTTTTTATTCAAGCACTTTTTTGAGTCACTGACATTATTTTTCTACTAGTCTCACTCCTTAACTGTATTTAAAAATGTAAGAAGAAAATGTCCTCCGATTTTGATTTTTTGGGGCATAACAAGAGATCCTTCAAGTTTTGATGATGTCCTTATAAAATTCTTGGATTTTTTTTTTTTTTTTGTCTCGCGGATGGCACACAAATGAAGGGAATTTACTCCTTACTGTGTTTAGTAAAATGGTTCTCATTCGTACCTCCTCGATTTTTATTTTTATTTTGAATTATGATTTTAAACTTTTTTAAATAGTAAAATACAATTTAAATAAGCTAAACACAAATGCCGTTAATTTGATGGGGAAAACACATCTCCCTTATGAGAAGTGTCCTCGATGCAGGAGAGACGTGGGGCTGTGGGCCCCATTTGTTTCAAAATGTGAGATATAGAGTGTGTTTTGAATGTCTTTTTGTTTTTAAAAATTGTTTTAAAAATGAAATTTGAAAACTGATTTTGAGAGTAAAAAAATAATAAAATTTGTTTGAATATAGTTAGTTTAAAAGTTATAAAAAAGATGTAATTATTTACAAAAATATCATTAGTGAATTTTTAGATTTACAAAAAATGCTACTGTAAAATAATTTAAAATAAAATAAAAATCTATTAATTACAAAAATGCTATTAATGAATCTCTTTATTGACCAAATTGTCACCACACAAAACTAAAAATCACAGAACAACTTTGGAAAACATGTAAAACTTGTTTTGCTTTTTTGATTTCCAAAACTAAAAAGCAGACACAGTTTTTTAAACAGGATGCATCAAAACAGGTTTTCAAATAAGATTTTTTGTTTTATTATTTTTAAAAACTAAAAACTGTTTTTGAAAACACAAATCAATTAGGCCCACTCTGATTGATTTGAGTTTTCAAAAACAGTTTTAAAATTTTAAAACAATAAAACAAAAATCTTGTTTGAAATGACTTTTTCATGTTTTTTGTTTTGAAAACCATGTCTCTTTTTTTGTTTTAGAAATCGAAAAACCAAACCAAGTATAGGATGTTTTTGAAAGTTGTTTTTTGGTGTTTTTTTGTACGGTGGCATTGTTGTAAATAAAGAATTTCATTAATGGCATTTTTGTAATTAAATAAATTTTTTATTTTATTTTAAATTATTTTGTGATGGCAATTTTGTAAATATGAGAATTCATTAATGGTATTTTTATAAATAACTACATCTTCTTTATAACTTTAAAACTAACCATATTCAAACAAGTTTTATAGTTTTTTTACTCTCAAAATCAGTTTTCAAACTCCATTCTCAAAACAGTTTTTAAAAACAAAAAACAAAAACACATTCAAACACACTCATAAATTCCTAATTTGATTTTAAGGTGAATTTTTTTTTTATTTGAAAATTATGATCATTGGGAATATAACGGGAAAGTTAGTTTTTTGAGAATATTAAGAAAAAATTATTTTGTATGTCAAAATATTATAAGAAATATTGATTAAATTTTCTAAGTGTATTTTTGGTTCATAATAAAATATTACTGAGAATATTAAATGAATTTATGAAAATAACCTCATAACACATTACTTTAAAAACACGATGAGTAACAAAAAAAAAAAAAATTACACAATTATGCAAGAACGAACTATTTACTTGACGACTTCTTCCAATATCGATCTTCAGCTTGCTTCTATTGGTGCTATAGGCAATAGTGAGTCTATTGCCAATGGAAATGAACTGTAGTCCTTGATATAAAGACTCTGTAAAAGCTACTGAATTGATTTCTTCTAGTTAGCCTTTGTATAGGAACTCAATTGGGAAGCTTTGGTATCTGCATTCGTTCCAAAGCAACTATGTATTTCACTGCAAATTCAGTTTTCCTCATGGCTCACGAGGGTATAAAAGTCTGAAAATTGTTTGACTGCTTTCTCATCACATGGGAAAAAAAAATACCATATCTTGAATGATATTTTAAAATAGGAATCAGTAGAGTAAAATCAAATCTTGGGAATAAAATTTTCCCTGACAAATTTTTACTTTTTCTTATATCAAATATGAGAAAATAATTTTTCCAACCCGAGCGTTTGGTAGAGGGAGAAAATATTTTTACCAGGAAAATATAATTATTAGGGATATGGGGGGAAATGAAGTTTGGTAGGAAAATTAAAAAAAAAGTTGTTTGGTTGGCCAAAATTTGATTGAAGGTAAAATATAGGTAAAATCACACTGTATGGTTAAATTACCACAACAACCCTTGACTAAAATAAAATGGGAAAATATGATTTTAGTTTGCTGTAGTTTTTCCAAACATCAGGGTCATTTTGGTCTCCTTGCTTGCAACTCTTTTTGGATTTTCCCATCTATCAGCAAATACCACCTTGTAGGTAGGGGTGTAAATAGGCTGGGTTAGGCTAGACTTTAGCTTAAATAGGTCAGGCCTGTATTAAAAATATTGGATCTGGCCTAGCCTGTTAGCCTGTGTAGGCCCCAAATTACAAGTCTGACTGGTCTATATTAAAAAATAAAAGTCTTGACTTAGGCCTGTTTAGCCTGTTTAAGCTTATTAAACATTCAACAATTAAAAAAATAACTAAAATAATATTACTTTATTATTCAAAATTACTAAAATAATAAATTTATTTATTTTTTAAAATAAATAATATCATATAGGCCGACCTGTAGGCTTATAGGCTCGAAATGTACAAAAAAGATTATGGCCTGTTTTCTAAATAATTTTTTTTAAAAGCCTAGGCTTATTCTATTTTACTATTTGTAATAGGCCAAGACTGATCTAATATAGACTAGGCCGTACGCCCTTGTAGGTCGGCTTAGCCCATTTACACCCCTACTTGTATGTGATATTATTCAACAGTATTTTTTACACACAAAAAGCAAATACTAGGCAAACTGATATTAAATTTCTAAATAATACCATGTAACAAACGCACCGTTTAAGTTTATCTACATTTGAATAAATTTCTACATGCATAAAATATTAAAAATGATTTTAACGTCAAACTGATATAATTACAATCTATTTTCTCGTACAGTCTCTCATTTGCTTCTTTCCAGTTCCACCTTTATTTTGTTTAATTCGCATAAATTGTCTTAATTAATCTTGCTATGTGACTGATGCTCAATATTTTATTTTTTTTGGACAATAATGCTCAATACTGATTCATGCTTTACTTAACAAAACTCTGCACTTTGCAAGAAAAGGTTTTTGAATGGCCTATGTCTGAACTTTGTTATTTATTTATTATCAAGTTGCCGGAAATAAACTCTGCACTTTATTTATATATATATATATATATAGAAAAATATTTTTCCGGTAACTTGAGATAAATTTATCTCCGGTCACCTCAAAACTACGTTGTTTTGTTTATTTATTTTTTTATATTAAATGATTCATCTTTGGATGGTTATGATTCATTTTTTCTTTTTCTTCCTTCATTATCATTGATCCATCTTTATACGGTTATGATTTATTAGCCAGAGATAAAATTATCTCCGGCAGCTTAAACGATAAGCTATATATATATATATATATATATATATATATATATATATATATATATATATATATTTGTTAGTATTTTCATGCTGCATAGTTGTTAGACCAGTTCAAATATAACTTTTTCAAATACAATTTTTTAAAAATAGTTGTTAGACCTCAGAAATAAGTTCCTTAGCACTTATCAATACTTGTTGGTATAATTGCTTTTATTCATGGAGTCTCAATCTATACCATGATTTATTATTTTTGTTTCCAAAAAATTCTATAAAGAACACAAAGTACATATTAAACTGTTAGCACCTTTCCGGCTGGAAACAGTTGAAGAACAGCCAGTTACCATCCAACGGTTCTTGACTTCCCACCAAACAAGCGATGTAATAAAAAAGGTATGACAAAATCAATATAACAAGGCAATTAATAAATATGAGAAAGTAGACGAAAACAAAAATGTGGGTTAAGATGTGTTCAAACTTGCAATTCATCCTACAAAATCATCATAAAGCAAGCCAGCCAACCTAGCTCATATAGTGAATAACATTTTCTTTTTTTCTTTTTTTCTTTTTTTTTTGGTAATCAAATAACATTTTCTTCTTTAATTGACTAATACCATTGAATGAAAAGTAATAAATGCTAGTTTTTGATTCCTTAGCCTATGTCATAAAATTACTAGTTAACAAAGTTATTTGATCCCTGAGGATCATAGGCTAGTGTTTACGAAGGAGATTTGTAGTTCCACAAGGAAATCAATTATTTTATCACTAAGGTTAGTTACCTTGACTAAGCAAAATAAATTGAAAAATTGAATATAAAATTAATTAAAAATTGATCAAATCCAAACCAAACTTAAATTATAGAGTAAATATATTTTTTGGTCCTCAGCAAATTTCACGATGTCCGTTTTAGTCCCTAGCAAATAAAAAGGCCCATCGTGATCTCTAAGAAATTCAAAATGGATTCATTTAGTTAAAATTGTGGTCCCTCACAAATTCAAAAAAGATCCATATTAAACCTCAAAAGGACTAAAATGAGTCTATTTTAAATTTCTTAGGGACCACGATAGGCATGTTTATTTGCTAGGGACTAAAGCGGGCATCGTGAAATTTGTTGAGGACCAAAAAGGGTATTTACTCTAAATTATATAATAATAATAATAATGTACCTTATAAATTTTTATATTATTGATACTTATTTAAAAACTTCTTATTATACCTCTAATCGAATTCTGTTCTCTCTTAAATTTGGACATATATTATAAAATTGAAAATTAATCTAAAATTTAAATTTGTACTTTAATAAATTTGTTTGATCTTGTATTTAGTGTATTTTAATGAAATTGAATTTTTATATTTTGATGAATTTATATATTAAAGAATTATAATTTAAAACTATAAAATTAATCCAATTTAAACTAAAATACTAAATTAAATTCTGAACAAAATTTATAAGATAATATTGTAACAAAATTGATTTTAATTAGACTTGCCAAATTTTTCTAATTTACTTATTACATCTTGAGTATCATTATTTTCTAATATATTTTGTGCTTCTATAGGATTAAAAAATTCATTAAAATCTTCTATATCTATCACTGCACAATTATCTTCTATATCAAAATAATCTATATTTGAGAATTCTTCAATTTTTTCAATAGATTGATTATTTTTACATTGCCCTTTAATTGGGCAATTGCATTTTTTTTGATTTCTTTTGTTTATCTAGAGAGATATTCCATTCTGTCTTATTTAGCTTTGTAATTTTCTTTTCATATTTGTTCTTTTTCTTTTTAGGATCTAAGATTAATACTTCTTTTCTCTGTGTTTGCACTGGGCTTAATATAGATTTTTTTAAATATTTTTCTAGATTATTTTTAGTGAGTAACATTTCTCCAGAATCTTTTGATAAAAATTGTAATCCTATAACTAAGCTTAATCCTATATTCAAAGGTCTAGCAACTACATTTGTAAATGAATAAGGTTATGAATATTCTCCATGTTGTGTTAAAAAGCTTATTTTTGAAGACGTAGTTGATATTTATGTTCAGATTTATTATTATTCATATCTATTGATATTATAATATGATATGTCTCTTCATAATCTTCTCGTTCTAATATTTTTTGGTCTATAATATTTCTAGTGCATCCTGTATCTATCTTTGCTCTTATATACAATATTTTCCCATTTTGTAATTCTAATTTGCAGTCTACTTCTATTTGTGTTAAGGATTCTTTAGTATTACATATGAATTTGATACGTTCTATCATATTTAGTTCACAGAGTATTTTACTTTGTTCCCTTTTTCTTCTATCTGTTCTATACATAACATCTGAGGTTGAGAATCTTGATAAACATATATTTATAATTCTCTTAACCTTTCATCTTGTTTTGTTATTAATTCTTTTATGTCATTTATTTCGCTATACAATATACTAATATGATCTTGTAATACCTTTACTTCTGTCTACATAATATATATTTACTTTGAATATTTTTCTTGTATATTCATAACTTGTTTTCCTTTATTATCTTTTTGGAAAATACATTTATTACATCTTTCTTCATAATAATTATTACATTGGTATCGATTTTCTATGTCAGGATACATTTTACATATAGAACATGGTTTGTATAGATTTCCTCTTCTATATTCTTAGTCATGTTCAGTGGCGAAGCCACATAGTGTGTGGGTGGGGCCAAGCTTTAGCCCTAACTTGTATTTGAAAATTAGCCACATCTTTAACGTGGTTAAATAACCATGGCTAAGTTTCTAAATAATATTTAGTATTAAGCCCCATCTAAATTTTTGTTAGCCCTAGCTTAACAAATTGGCTAGCTCCACCACTCGTCATGTTCTTTACATTCTATGAACCTATTCATATAGTTTACTATTCTTTCTATAAATTGATCATGATTAGAAGATTCGTTATTTATTTCTATGTCATTTGAGTATATACTATATATATGCTTTCTGTATCACTTACATGTTCGTCTATACAAAATTCAATTAGTTATTTATATTCAACTAATAACAATTATATTAACTTTTAAAAATAATTTTTTTAAAAAAAAAATTATATTAACTAATCACTATCAAAAATATATTAAAAATAAATTTAAAAATAAAAATTATATTAAATTTTAAAAGTAACAATATTAATATTAAAATTTTAAAATTTATATGATTTTAACCATTTGGAGGCGATTACACGTTATTTGGAGGCAGTTAATATAACCGCCTTAGATTGTCTTTTGGAGGCGGTTAAAATAACCGCCTCAGATTATATCAGAATATGTTTTGAAGACGGTTATTTGTCATATAGAGGTGGTTATTCCAGCGGTTTCTAAAAATTGCCGCATTTTGCTTCGCGACGGTGATAAACGAGGCGGTTTATAAACCGCCGAACCAAACCTTTAGAGGTGGTTTGAACCGCCTCTAAATGCAAATATAACCGCCTCTAAATACCAGTTTTTTTGTAGTGTCTACTTTTCATATTTTTCCTATATGGACATTTTATAGAAAAATGACCTTCTTGTCCACATGTAAACCATTTTAATTTATTTCTACAACTTCTTTCTGGATGATATCTTCTAACATGTTTTTCTTTGTTTAAATAAGGTTTTTTGGCTTTTGTTTTTTCTTTTTATAATTTCTTTTGGGTATGTTCTTTCTATATTTTTTTTCTTTATCTCCATATCTTTGTGGGACAAATATTTTATTACAAAAACTATAGTCTTCTTTTAATTGCTTTGCTATTTGTATTTCTAAACATTTTTCTTTCAAACAAGACATTATAAAACTGCACTTAATGGTTACATTATCAAAATGTGGAAGATTATGATACATAATATTATCTTGTATTCTTTGTTGCCATCTTTTTTTTATAGATTTCTTCTTCCAAGGGTCCTGGTAATTTTCTAAAAAGTTTTTCTCCTATTTCTTTGTTAAATACATTACCTGATATGGAAGCATTACATGTAAAGTCCTCTAAAAACTGTTCTATATAGTGCCAATTTTTTATAGTCATTTGTTCTAGGGTTTTTACTGCTTCATATTGTGTTTTGACACTTCTTGAATTAGGGTCTTATCCTATACATAACACATGTATTTTATTTACAAAATTAAAAGGATTTGTTCCCAATGATAACATATGTTGCATTTCTTGGAGATATTCTTCTTTAAACCTTTCCCACATGGCTTTTATAGATTCTCCTAAAAATGTTTCTAAATATCTAAACATTTCTTCTGAATTATGATAAAAACCTTTTCCTATATACTAATTTACAACAATATTCCAAATTAGATTACAAAAAGTCTTGCGGGTAACGCATGCACGGAACAATATAATATCCAATTTTTCACCTCAATTTAAAATGCGTGGTGTGTATTCTCGGATCCATGTTCCTCCTAATTATTAAATGGTAGAGTTTGTTGCCGAGTCCCAGTCACCAAATTTCATAGTGAAAGTATCTTTGTCTCAATTGAGAAGCTTCCAACGTGGCAACCAAGAAAACCATTGGCATTAGCTTCAACCATCCAATAAGATATCACCTTATCCTATCCGTTTATCTTACTCACACCATAGCCACCAAATAACTGCGCTCTCTCCATTCTCCACCATCACAAAAACACTTGCAAACTAGTTAATTTTGAGAACTCTCACACACCCAGAGAGAGAGAGAGAGAACAGTGGTGGAAACAGAAGCAATGGCAGCTTCACTACAAGCAGCAGCTACTCTCATGCAACCAACCAAGTTGGGCATGAATGGTAGGAGCAACACTTTGCAGCTTAAGTCTACTCAATCCATTTCTAAGGCTTTTGGCTTGGAACCCTCTGGAGCTAAGGTCACATGTTCCCTTCAGGCTGATCTTAAGGACTTTGCTCACAAGTGTGTTGATGCCACCAAAATTGCAGGGTTTGCCCTTGCTACCTCTGCTCTAGTTGTCTCTGTATGTCGCCTTCCCTCTCTTCTATTTAGTCTTTTCTTCAAATTTAATGCATTCAAAGTTACCTGTTACATGAACTCCCGCAGAATTTATAGTCATTCATTTGATAAAAAAAAATGGGGTATCTTTTGTTTAATGATAAAGTTCAAGTTTAAATGCAAGATTATGCCTTAGAGTATATCCCTTCACCTTCGTTATCGAATTTTGAATTCTTGTTTCTTTTCTCTTTTGTTATTGTTGGATTCATTTTGGTGAATGATGTGCTTGTTTGTAAGTAGTAACAGTCAATTTGATCAGGGAGGTCAATGAAACATGTTGCAATGGAATAATCAAATGATCTTAGACATCAGTAATATAATTTTGTTTGAAACATATTTAGCGTTCCATAGTCCCAACTTAAATGATGTTGAGGAATCTAAGTGTGAGTGGGTGAAGCCCTTTAATAATGGACTAAGTGAGCATCATATAAGTGGAAGATCATATAAGTGGAAGGACCCTGCATCTATAATACCGGTTTTGGGTTTGATTGTGGTGTTCCGAGCCCACTTAATGTTGCTGCTCACTTGGCCCATGATTGGCGATCTCTCCCCGTCACAAGCTCTCCGTGCACAGCCCAACAAATGAAATACTAATTTATGCAAGGAAGTTGCTGTTAGTGTCAAACATTGGGCTCAACCTTGTAAATATCAACTTAGATTGCCAATTAATTTGTTAGAGTTGATAAGACGTGTTCACTAGTTTGCCTGCTTAGTTCATTATGATTCTGTTGAGACTCTATTGCCATTGTACATAACTGACTAAGATAAGAATCAATCTTGTTCAATTGTAAGAGAGATATAATATAAAACCATTGAACATCACTTAACTGTTTAAGCTTTTAGGTGAAATGGTTGCTTTACATCAATATCCAGGGAGCAAGGTTTTTTATTCCCTTAATCTGTTCTTGCCTTTATATGGGTTCATGGAGTTTTCACCCAACTAGTTTGGAATAAATGTGATATTAACGTTGATGTTAAACATTTAGGGAGCAAGTGCAGAAGGCGTCCCGAAGCGGCTAACTTATGATGAAATCCAGAGCAAGACATACATGGAAGTAAAGGGGACAGGAACAGCAAACCAGTGTCCAACCATTGATGGCGGAGTAGAGTCATTTTCCTTCAAGGCTGGTAAGTACAATGTAAAGAAGCTTTGCCTTGAGCCAACTTCGTTCACAGTGAAGGCAGAGGGTGTAACCAAGAACTCACCACTTGAATTTCAAAACACTAAGCTCATGACACGTTTGACCTACACCCTTGATGAGATTGAAGGACCCTTTGAAGTGTCTCCAGATGGCACTGTCAAATTTGAGGAGAAAGATGGCATTGATTATGCTGCAGTGACTGTTCAGCTTCCTGGTGGCGAGCGTGTGCCATTCCTTTTCACCATTAAACAATTGGTGGCATCAGGGAAGCCAGAGAGCTTTAGTGGGGAGTTTTTAGTGCCATCATACCGTGGAAGCTCTTTCTTGGACCCAAAGGGAAGGGGTGCTTCTACAGGTTATGACAATGCAGTGGCATTACCTGCTGGTGGTAGAGGAGATGAGGAAGAACTTGCTAAGGAGAACATCAAAAGTGCTTCATCATCCAAAGGGAAAATCACCTTGAGCGTGACCAAGACTAAGCCTGAGACTGGTGAGGTTATTGGTGTGTTTGAGAGCCTTCAGCCATCGGACACTGATTTGGGAGCAAAAGCTCCTAAGGATGTGAAGATCCAGGGCGTTTGGTATGCTCAGCTTGAGTCATAGACAGCTTCTTCTTCTTCTTCTTTTTTCTGCTTTATTTTGTGTTTTGTTGGTTCAGATTTTGTTGTAACTCCACAATAGTTGCTGCATTATCATTTGACCCTACTGTCCAAGAACTGAGAGTATTATCATGTTTGTATATTATATCGACTTCCAATTATAATGCTTAAAATGTCAAGGTTTAAATTGATGGTATGTGCGAGTTTTGGAGCCTGCTTTTTTACTTGTTGAAATTCCTTCGAGATGTTCTTCGCTGCCCTTAATATGCTAGTATCAAATATTTTATGTCCATTATATTATATTTTCAAGTTTAAACTAAATCATGCAATTAGATCGTCACAACTCACAAGCCCTAAACAATGAATGTTGTTCTCTTTTTTGTGCTTTTTATGTTATGTTTGGGCTTTCTTTTGTTTTGCGTTTCGGATGAAGGCCCCACAATATTGGTGAGACTCATGGTATGGACTCAGATGGTTTTGTCAAGTGGGCCTTCGGGGCCATGGAATTATGTAAAGAATTTAGGGGCCGTTTTGGTAGAAGGATAAATTGTAAATTTCGAGGAAACTCACATTGGGAATTTTAATTAGTCACATTTGGTACAAGGATTCTTAAAATTTTTCTGAAAAAATGAGATTCATGCGAATTAAAATTGTGAATAATAATCCCATAAAATAATACCACCTAGAGGGAGGTATTCTAAGATTCTCATCTGGTGGTAAGGGTGTTCATTAACCGATTCAAATCGTGGTGACCGAATTGAAAATTGAAAACCAAAAATAAAAAACAACCTCGTATATTTTAATTGGACTGGATCTGTTTTTGGTTTGGTTGGTGAAAACCAGTCTAATTCAAACCGATCCAATGTATTATGTAATAATAATTTCGAAAGATGGTAACTTGGAATCTTGTTGTTTTGTAGACTTGAAATCTTGGATGTTGTTGATAACAAATTATCTTGTTTTAGTTTTTTATTGTCTATTAATTTATTTTAACTCTTCATGAGTTTTAAGACTTGAATTTTATACTGGTTTGTAACTTTAAATGGATTTATTTTGATATAGCTAATGATTTGTACGATTAAAATTTTAGGCTTTTCGAAAAATTAAAAATCGATTCAATCCAAATCGAATAAAATTAGATTGGATTTAAAAAAAAATTCAAAACGAAGGGATTTGATCGGGTGATTTTTGCTTCAAAATCGATCCAATTCAGACCGCGAACACCCCTACCTGGTGGAAAATTTTTACATAATTTAGAAGACATAAATAACCCTACTTTAATTTTTTTCATGACTAAAATATCCTCTCTTGTTAAAACCCTAGCTTACTTTACTTCACAAAATTGTGGGTTCTTCTCTTTCCTTTCATAATGCCTTTTTACTGCGTTCCTTTCTGCTTCACGCTACTTCGTTCTAGTGACCACAATGCCGCGTTTTGACCTTTTTGTGGCATATCAGAAATTTTTTTCAAAAATTCATCAAATGTTAGTTTTGTAAAATTGATCCACATTCCCAAGAATCATTGACAATCAACTAAACATAGAATCAAAAAACTTGAGTCAACAATTCTAGGAATATTTTGCCCTACTAAACTGCTTTTTGATAACATTTTTGAAAAATTTACTTTCTTAGCATATTTCTCGAAATCGTGATTCACAAGGAACAAAAAAATTCTCCTATACCAAAATTCTCATTTAGTTCTCTTATTAGTAGGTCAATATTTCTTAGAGAACTAAGATTACATATTGGAAAAGTTAAGCTCATATTTTAGCAATAAAATTCATAATTGATGGTAATTCACAACCTAAGAAATGCACCAATATTACGTACTTTACACTCAACAAGTTGGTTGCTTTGCTTTCTTTCTTTCTAGGTAATAAATTTTCTTCGTCTTCCAGGACATCCTTCAGTTATTTGTCCTGTATTGCTAAATGAGACAAAGGAGCACTAGGTTAGGGGTTCAGTGTACTTGACTAAGAGTATTATCACAAGTAATCATTATTTAATAAAATTAAATTATGTGTGACCATCTCAATCGTTCATGAATAAATCAACTGTTAATTTATTTATTTTTTAACTGTCTATCCCATCACTTTATTTTTTTGTTAAATGAGATAGCCTATATTTCTTGCTAGCTGTGGAAGTTGCCTTTGAGGTGAGTTGGTCAAGAGACTCCTTTAGGGGGGGTTTGGTTGGGGATTTTGTAATAGATACCTAAGCAACTTCTATTGATATTTCAATTTGATCGTGTTTGGTATAACACTTAAAATAATTTAACTAGGGAAATCCATTGCCCATCTATCTTGATTTGTTTGTAAAATTTCATGAAAAATACTATTCCAAAAACCCAAATGAGAGGTGGTATTTTGAACTTTGATGGGGAAAGAAAAAGAGAGAGGTTGAAATGAAGACAAAATTGACCCTAGTGGAGTACATTTTCTCAATCTCTTTCTTATGTGGAGATTCAAAAAGTAGAATGGGTATTTTTGTAATTTTAATTTATTTTCCTATCAATATTTTAACTCAAACTAAACATAGATTTTATAATATTTATCAAATTTTTCCGGTAATTTTTTTTTCAACCAAACAACTATTTTTACATTTTCCTACCAAACTCATTTTTCAACAATTTCACTAGTATTCAAAAAATTTCTCCTCAACCAAACACCCCTTACGTTAAGGTCTTGGCCCCTTGGGTGGTTGCAGTTTTTTTTACGACAATTCTTATATAATCTTAATTTCTTAATTATACTTGTAAGTTATGACCTGTGTGTTTATTAATTTATTACAACAATAAAAAAAGAATTTTTCTATAAAAGGCTGAGCCAAAAAGCTAAAAACAAAACAAAGTAATAACAGGAAATATTCTAACTGAAAGAGCATTTTTTTTTTGAGACTGATGCTAATTATTTCTTTCACGCGAATCAGAATCTTCTGGTATCTTCATGAAGTTCGACTCTTTGAGCCGTCTATGAGACTAATCCAGAGTTCGGGTGCGAGTTCAAGGATTACGGTACTTATGCCCTTCTCCAGACGGTGTTGGTGAGATTCGAATCAAAGTCTTCTCCCACCACTCAATCTCCATGCTACCAACTGAGTCACCACACTTGGATAAAGAGCGTATTTCAAATTGGGAAGAAAAATGAGTATATTCCCTATATAACACTACTAATTAGAAAATTTTCAAATGATTCGTGGTGCCAATTACTGTAGTGCGTCCCCACCAATGATCAAAGTCAAGAAAATACAATCCTTATTCATCGTTTGTTTATTTTTTTATTCAAATCATTTTAATGCAATTATTATAGGAATCCAGCCAGGTACCGCGCCGACGAAATAACTGAACACATTGTACAAGAGAGAATGAGAGGATGAGAAGAGCCCTTCCCCACTTTATCATAAGAACTAATTCTCTTTAGTAATTCACACTCCCAATTGTCAAAACAAAAATAAAAATAAATAATTGAATTTATCATTAGCGTCTTTCATAGTCGTAGTCATACTAATAAATAATATTCATATTCTTTAGTCCTTGCTTTTTTTTTTCTCTCTATTTCTCTGCATATTTCCTTTTCTTTTCATTTTTTTTTTTCCATAACTACTCTTTGAAACTGATTGATGTTATGGGTATGTCTGGTATTGAATTACCATGACAAGGATTTGCAATTGCATGGTAGAATGGAGGAACTGCCAGGGGCGTTTGGCACCAGTGCCAGCTTTGCTCTTCGATTGGGGCAAACTGTTTTCTCCTCCGCTTCCCTTCTTTTCATGTGCTTGGACGTTGATTTCTATGGCTACACCGCTTTCTGGTAATTCTGAATTTTTTTATTATTATTATTGAATTTTCATGTGTTTATGTTGCTCTTCTTTAACCCGATTCTGGGTCTGTCTTACTGTGTCACTGATCCCCCAAAGTTGATAACTTTTTTCAATTTAATCTTGCCCCATCATCATTTTAAAATGCAATTTACTAGTAATTGGTTGTGTTTTGGTATAATTGAGTTTGAGAAATATTGCTGAAATCAAACTAATGAAGGGTTTCTATTAGTTTGTGGTGGGTATCAGAGAATGGTGTTGTGGGCAGGAGTTGAGGAAGAAAGTAAGTCATGATGGATAGCCTATTCAATTAATTGTTCAGGGCTTTCGCACATTTATTGGAATTGTGAGCCAATGTTAGTGTAGTGCAGATCCATTATTTTCAACTTTCTTGAGCCAATGCCCAGTTACTCATATTATAGGCAAAATAATGCAAATATACTGGCTTTGGCATTGAAATTGCTTTTGTGCCACTGTAAGGAGGATTATTGAAAACATTGAATAATATAAGATAGTGATTTTTGGTCAGAGCAAGTTTATGTATCAGTTATTGCTGATGAGAAATCACATTCAATTAGCCTATTAATCTATTGCCATGTTGCTGGCCAAACCGCTGGAGAAAAAACAATAAATTTTGGCTTTGTAGTAGAAATAATGAGAATGGATGATCTCAAGTTGTTTTTGTTGAATTGAAATCTTTGGTTAGTTTAATATAAAGTTGCCAGCACTGTTTTAGCATTCTTCACTTCAGTGTTCCTTTTTTCTAATTACATTAGCCATGTAATGCAATTTCACATGCAATGTGGAGGTGTTGGTATGATGACCAAGGTGCTGGCCTAAAAGCTCCAACTTTTCACTTTAACATGGTTTGGTTGTGATTAGAGGACATATTTCTTTGTGAATAGTTTGTTTATATAGCAATTATACAGTTTAAAACCTACAGTAGGTTAAAGATTTGGGTATATGCATATTTTTCCAGTTTCAAATGTTGCGTTAACAATGTCTTGGAGTTTATCCAGTCTAGGTTATCTACTATGCATATGCCTCACTTGAAGAATTTTACATTTTGTCTTTATTTATGCTATTCCACAGCTTTTTGGTAACAGTCATGGGTTTGGTAATTCCCTGGAGCATAACACTGTTGGTAGTAGATGCATACTCTGTCTTTATAAAATGTATACCGCATCAAGGAAGACTCATATTGATCATCTTTTTGGGAGACATGGTATGTGCAATTCATGGCTAAGTTCGTGTTTGGATATGATTATTTTCGAAAATAATCACTTTTTATTTTCAAAAGTTCTCTTAAGAAGCTATAAAAAAAAGTGATTATTTCTTTAAAATGAGCTAATCCTAATACACACTAAAATACTTCAAGGACTCTGTTTTTATACTTCACCAATGCACTAATGATATTAGAGTTTTTCTATACCCCAGGTTTTGTCATATCTCTCACTAGCTGCAGCATGTTCAACAGCCAGTGTCACAGATCTCCTGCTTGATGCTGATGGATCCTATTGCCCACCAAATTTATGTGGTAGATATCAATTATCTGCTGCTATGGCCTTCTTGTCTTGGTTTCTTTCATCAGCTTCCTGTCTGTTTAATTTTTGGCTTTTCTCTTCTCTGTAAAATATCTTGCTTTCTGTTGATATATATATACGAATGAAAAGGGTGCAAATGACGAAGTCATTTGTTCTTGGGCTGAAATTTTTTGTTTCCATGTGAATAAAACTATTATGACTAAACCAACAATGTATAATTACTTTTCTAATGCAAGAGAAATACGAAAACTCCATTTCTTGGTTCTCAAATGTTTCCTCGTTTTTCGATGTCTCACAATCATAAATAAGTATATTACTAAGAATTTATATTCCTGCAAGTTTTGGTTCATGAAGCAAAGTTGATGAGGGAAGAGACTTGGAATACTCGTAGAGATGGGAAAGGAAAAGAGAGATAAGCCTTGATTCAGGTTAAAGCAGCCTCCAGAACGAGGAATAGTGACCAAACTGTCCCTTTTTTGACAAAAATTTTACTAAATGACACGCGAACAGTACTTTTTACCGGACTGTTACGTGGCGTAATTCGCTATGACTGGTAGCGAATTACGTTCGCCAATGATTTCGTAACACGTGGCACACTTTCGCAGGAAAAAACTAACGTGTCATAATTCGTTACCAGTGATAGCAAATTTGGTCTGCAATATAACCACGTGTCATGAAATCATTGGCGAACGTAATTCGCTATCAGTCGTAGCAAATTACGCTACGTGGCAGTCTGGTAAAAAATACTATTCATGTGACATTTAAGTAAAAAATTTACTAAAAAATGATATTTTGGTCGCTCTTTCCCCGGAACACAAGAGAAATTGATAAAATAATTTGGTCATGCCTTTCATTCATCACATACAGTTATTTGTGGAGGGTACAGAAGGTTATGGTCTTTGTACAATGCAAAAAGTGCTCACAACTATTCGCGCCCTCTCACACTGTTTTAGTGTGGCATTTTCTTATGCACACATTCTCACTGTCCTGTTACATCATATATTATCGCTCCGTGCATTGACTGTCGTATGTTTTGGAGTTTCGGGGCAGTGGTGATGAAGTGACATATAAAAGAACATGGTAGAATGAATGGGGAGGAGGGGACCAGATTTTTCTATTATTTGTATCATTGTATGTTTAATGTCAATGAGAAAATGATGTAGGAAGGGATGGGTTATGGGGATTTTTTTAATAGGGTACCGATCATAATGAATTTGGTGGTTCTTTTCCAAGAAAAGGAATATTTTTCTCCACTTATATCTTTACTTTTCTTCTAAATTCTCTCCTAATTCTCTTTTTCTCTTATTTTTTGGATGGGAGTACAAACTCCCGTCCACCAAAAACAAGCTCCGGTTATGGGGTTTTGGATTGGCTTATTTTTATACAAGAAATTGATTTTTATCAAAGTAAAAATGTTTTTCATTTAATGTGTGTGTGTTTGCAAGTCAAACTGGTTATATATTATAAAGAATCGATTCAATTCAAAAGTTTAAGTTATTGGGTGTGAATTTTTTTAATAATTTATATTATTTTTCAACATATCCCCTTATATAAGAGTCTTTCGGGCTTAAAGCGTGAATATTGTACAGATTTAATTTTTAATTTACCTTGTGCTTATTTAATTTTACTAAAAAATGAAAGTGATGAGGATCGAACTCATGACCTTATAATTATTTAAATTTTTAGATTGAATTAATTCTTTATATGTTGAACTGAGATTTCTAGCATATGAAAAAAGCTAAAATAATTAAGATAAAATATTACTTTTTACGTAAAATTGATTTTTAAATTGATTGAAATGTATAATAGTTTCAACTTTCGAAAAATAATTTTTTTTTTTAAAAGTCAATTCTTTTCGGTGCATCTAAACGGCCCTATGTTTCAACAGATGAGCAGAAAAGGTAAGGAATGATTGAAAACGGCCCTATGGCGTATGAAAAATCCTAATACGCCCCTTTCCATCCCGCTGATCCAACTAGCTCTGGATTACACTAGTGAGTATATCAAAAAATTTCTAAGCCGGTTACAATTCATCAACTTCATAACATTAAAAATTAACAAAACATAAGTTTTTCATGCGGGTTACTGAAAATTTGCTGACACTGAGACCAATAGTTATTAGAAAAATGCTCTTCTCATAAAATTAAAGATGTCACAACTATGGGTAAATCTGTTAGTTTAAATGTGAAGCCGAACCATGCTAATTTCGGTATATTCTTTAATTTTTATTTTATAATGTCAGCAAGGTTACACGATATCCTCCAAGTCCAAAAAGAATACAGAGGTAAGATTTGCAGGAATTTGCTTTAATTTAGAATCCCAATCTCTTCAATAAGGGGATAAACCACCCGGCTCCCAAAATATACCCATCAGGAAATATCTACGCCATCATTGTATAATTTATTCATATCATAGATAAATGATTATTCCAATCATAATAAGCCCCTGCATTAACATTCATACACTGGCCAAGTTAAGGGGAAAATTCATGCTTGCTTGTGAAAGGGCCCTCCGTGATGATAATCCAGATCAATGATAGAGACCATAATCTTGTAGTGTTGATGTATCTAGGCTAAATGAATTGGATTATGAATCACACAAGTGTTGGTGAAGTAAACAATCATCCGCACCAACCGGCAATAACACATTGAACATAATAATATATATTATGCTTTAAGACTTAAAGATATGCACACAAACAACAACCCTAATCTTTGTTATGTCAGTCTATTAGATTTTCAAGTCCCTTGATGTTTTCAACACAAAGCAGTGTAGGAAATCTTAGATTTATGCGGAAGCGGTTTAGGACCTAGTACATTGGTATGCTTACCGAATCATCCTTGTTTCACAATTACCTCTCGGTGCGCAGGTCTCGTGTAGAATCTTCCCTTGTAGGATTCCTCTTCACGAACAGCTCACCTCAGCGCCGCAGCACGAACAACCTCCTTGAAGCTGGACTGTGGCAGAGCTTCCAAACTATCTCTCGAGGAGGAAGGGGAAGTGTGTGGGAACTGATTAGATTCTGAGCTTGCCTCTTTCTCACAAAAAAGACCTTTTTGAGGCTGATGACTTAAGAGGTACTATTTATATGGGTTCCAAGAAACCCTAGCTCATTGGGCTCTAGGTTCCTTGGGCTCTTCTCATATTAATAACCCATTTGGGCTTTAGTAAAAGAGCAAACCCAACAATCTCCCACTTGCTCTTTAAACATGGTTAGTTTAGGATATTTGGTAGTGAAATTATATATGATTACCTGATACTTGAATTTTCATTTTTCTTTGTTTATTTCTCTTATAATATATTGTATGTGGTTATCATATATGACTTTTTTTATCCCTACAAAAATTATATATGGTTGCAGCCCAGTATAATAATTTTTCACATGTATTTGAATATTTTATGGATTTTTATGTATAAAATATATGTTTTTATGTACTAACTCGGGTCATCCAGTTTAATCAGCGACTCACCGTTTGACCCAGTGACTCAGTACTTCAGCCGGATCAATGTCTGGATCGGTTCTGATAACATTGGTTTCCCTTCGATTATGTGATTAATTGTGTTATTTTTAAGATCAAATATAAAATTAATATATGTCTTTTGACATAAACTCAATAAATTAGGAGCAAGAAAATACTTCTTTAATAGCATGTGTTTCCATTTTCTTTAAAAAGAATACAATGAAAACATTAGCAAGATAACATATTGAACAACAAGCACACTCGACTATTTTGTTTGTGGAAATGCCAAACATACGAACGGGTATCATTGTGGTCTCGTGGAAGAAGCAATGAATCGGAGGTAACCATCTATTTAGTATTCATTCTGCATAATTAAACTCCTCAGTTTATTCTTGTTTTTTTTTTCTTTTCAAGTTCTTATTTAAATTGTAGCGATTTTATTTTTATTTTTATTTTTAATAAATTTCATTTAACTCTTCCAGACATATTGTGACAATAGCTTTTTTTTTCTTTTTACTCATATTAACTTCTTCTATTCGATATTTTATTACTCTTTAAAAAAACTAATTCTTTTTCGAGTCAATTCTCTTGGCTAGTTTTTTTTTCCTCTTGTCTAGTTTTTTTTAATAAAAATATTTCATCCATCACACTTATTTTTATTAATTAATTTTATTCATTATGATCATCACCTTAGGTAGTGCTGGCAAAATTGGATTGACTCGGCGAATCATACTGCTCCACCCGTCAAATAGGGCAAGGCGGGGCGGGGTGGACTCGTTTTTTGGCAAGTTGATGGCGCGCATGGGTTGGGCGAGGGGGGTCCGTGTAAAATAGGTTTGGGCTTGCAGGCCAACCCGCCCATTCCACAAAACAAGACGTGTCATGCTGAGTTTTTCAACCCACTTTCAAAAGCTGAACGAGGCGGATTAACTTATTTTTTGACAAATTGGACGAGGCGGGGCAGTTCGCTTTGCCACCTATACCCTTATGGCATAGATATTAGCTAGCTAACTTATCACGAAGACCCCACGTAATATGGGTAGGGTATCTATCAAATTTATAATAATTTTCCTCTCGCAAATCCTATATTTTAGGTTAGGTATTTATTTTAGGGGCAAGTTATATTTACAAACTTTTTTGTTTACAAACTACACTATGTAGGACCGGTCCTATATTAATAACACTATGTACGATCGGTCCTACGTAGTGTAATTGCAAAAAAAGTTTGTAAACGGATCCTATCCCTTTATTTTAAGACTTTCTTTTAATTTATTTAATTAGTGTATTTTATATCATTAAAGAAGGTAAATATAGTATTTTATCTAATTTATTATATTATAAAAATATTGACTTAAGATGTCAATTTTTTCAATCAAATGAAAACAAACCGGTAATTATAAAATGAAAAAGTTGAATTTGGATTATCTGAGATTTCATATTCTATACGGATCCAACTGACCTGCCGCGGCTTGAAATTTGCATACTTAATAATATGGGTCTCTATTGGTATTCTGTTTTGAAAATGAAAGATTCGTATTAACTTTGAACATTATATGCTCAAAGTGAAATGTAAAAATTAAGTAATAAAAGATATAAACTCATAAAAATATAATATTTTATTATTAAATATTTAATTTTTATTACTTATTTTATAATTAAAAGATAATATGATATTTCCTTATTTTAAAACAGTATTGAAATAAAGCTCATTTACTAATTTATTACTATATCTGTCAAATTTAAGAATTTAGTTTAAGTCCGGCT